TTACATTCATTTCGTGCATTCATTTACATGCATTTGCCTCTAACTTTTTCCCACAACAGAATTCCGTGAAAAATAGGGCTTTTGATCTCATTTCCGTCCTACTAAGCACAACTCGCGCTTTACTTTTCTTAACGAGTTTGCACAAAAAATGGAATATTGCTGTCAAAGGTGACTTCTAAATTTATTCACCTTTCCATACGTACCGTCGGATTTGATAAAGAGTCACAAATTATTGAGATATTGTTTAAAATCTAATCTAAAATCTAATCTAATCTTGATTCTAAATTCGTTCTATGAGTTTCAATTCCGTCCTAACGCATTGAAACGCAAATAGATTTTCTTCTTCCTACGGATAAACGTAGAAAATGGGAATTCGCAAGGAGCGCTTCTTTTGTTTTGAGAACAAAGAGCGTAAATATTCATACAATGCGCTCTAACAGGGTTTATGTTGTAGCTAATGAACTAACGCATCGGAACAAACCTATTATTGATTTCTGCACGGTGAAATCATTGATAATATTGATGTTTTCTGATTGATAGAACGGAAGTGGGCGATTACGACGAAGTAGCGCTCTACACTATGAAGCTTTTGTAGGTTTTAATATTAGCTAAAACTTATGTCAGTAACTCAAATCTGTACCTCTTATGCATGACGAACTAGAACGGGCAGAGCTTGTTATTATTTGTCATTGAATGTAATTTACATTCACTGAAAAACAATAGTGGGATCCGTTTGCTCTGGTTCATCATGCATAAAAGATACAGATTTGAGTTTTTGATAAAAGTTGTAACAAATATCAAAACCTACAAAGGCTTCATACATCGTTCCACGGAATTCTGTTGATGAAAAAGTTAGAGGTAAATGAATGCATGAAATGATTTGTCATGCCTGGTTATCAAGTTATCAAAATGATATCATAATGTTTGCAAATTTAAATATAGCCCTATGCCTCCCAAAGGAACATTTCAGCACAGACAAACAGACGTAACTCTTCATTGTGTATCTTCGTTCATGCATTTAACGGTTGATTTGAATATTATCAGTTCCGCGAACTACTCGCCGCAGCGCTGGCATCGGATCACTTTGACGTTTCTATGTATTCTATAGAACTTTTATGCAATATTGTTTACAATTTAGCGAGCAAGCTTGTTTTCCGCGAGAAGCCAGATAGATGTCGCTACTGAGGTTATATGTTTTCAAGAACAAGTTTTTCAAAGAGTTACGTCTGTTTGTCTGTGATTTCAGCCTTATAAACCTCTTCGAAACCACGACAAAACCGAAAATGTTACTTAGTTTACGTTAACGGAGATAGATCAGTTCTGTTGTGAGTTTAAAATATGTGACTATGAAACAATTAAAATTTTTATTGATCCTCACTTACATTGCTCTAACTTTCACTGTAGTTGTCCAAACGTGGTTGTCATGACAATGATCAACAAGCCTGTTGTTGTTGTATGTATGTATGTATGTATGTAAGGTAGCCACCATCCCTTCAAAGATCTTGTCTTGTATGCAGCTCAATTTGAGCTACTGATCTAAATTTACACTACCGCTGTATGAAGGGTCAACAACGGAGGGGTGGAGCCGTAAGCAGAGGCACTTATGCGAAATCCACGGGAATTTAAGAATCTCCTTCCAACGATAAGATCCAACAAATCGAATATCGCAATTCGCAATACATATTAAGCTTCCTACAGGATGGTTTGTAAAGAAGGGCCCGTCAATCTTAAGCCTGTTGTTGTTGTGAAGAAATTGGCATTGTTGCCTTCATACTCATCTATCAATTTACCATATTTTGTCGTTTTTTGGAGTTCTATATTTCTAGATATAAACTGATCGAATAAACAAAAGGCTTTTTGTTCATTGCAATAGCAACAACTTATTATTAGTGGAGTGGTGTTGAGTACTTGGCACTGATGAAGTCTGCAAGTAGTAGACAAAATACACGTATCTGTCAAAGGATAAGCAATTATAACGGAATTTAAAGGAAATAAACCAACACACTCAAAGCTCTTCATAACATATTATTATTTTTTCACCGTTTGGACAAGTAGGAGCAAAGTTAGTAATAAGTGATTTTTATCAATTCTTCCGTAGTAATTCCCATATAAATTTCAAATCATTGGCACGACCTCTAATCCTTCATCAATCTTTACCCATTTTTGCACAGGATCAAATTTTTGGGTAGTGAATCGGACTGGAAGGTGGTCTATCAGAAATGCATCTCTTTTATTTTCAAATGAAGCACTCTAGTTTACACGTTTAGAACCTAATTTTGAATGGGATAGGAACTTAATTAGAAACTTTGAATATTGAATTGAATCTTTGATGATTTTATAACTTTATTCATAAATCCTTTATATTGTAATTGTTATTGAATTGAGCAACACAAAAAATCTCATAGTCCTACGTCAATAATGCGGTCGCGTTTCAGACACAAACCCTTATTTTTTTTGTTATGGTCACTTTAAAGTTCTTGGGATAAAAAAGTGACTTTTCCGGGTTGAGAATTGAACCCGAGACTTTTGCGTGAGAGGCATGGATGTTAACCACTACGCTGGGGCCGCACACTGGGGCAGATCATTGATTTTCTCGGAAAAAATTAATAACTTTTGAACAAAGCATCCAATCAGAATACTGTCTTGGGTAAAGTTGTTTGTATTAGTTAAGCGCTTCTTTTGAATAAATTAATTAGTTCGCAACTTGGTCGTAGAGATGGCGCGCGAATCTAACTTTTGAATAAAGCATCCTAGACGTATGGTGTTTTCAACAAAGTTTTTTATCTATTAAAATGAAGGAAAGTTGCACAAGACATAAAACTTCCATAACCTTTAGTTTCGGAGATATAGGGTATATTGAAAAATATGATGTCAAAATTCTTATTTGTTAACTTTTTTGTATATTTTCATATGTTTGCACTGGTTTTTGCATTTATTCCAACGAAAACAAACTAGGTGCAAATTTTCATTGCACTATTTGTGGAATTTATAGTGGTTTTAGTGAAATATTCTTGAAAAACATGATATTTTGCCTCTATTTTAGGTGGGTGGGATTCTCGAAAGGGCAGCTAAGGGCAGCTGGATTTTGTCTCTTTTGCTAGCTCATGTCATTGTCTAACATATACCAGAAAACTGAAGACATGATATTCGATGATTTTTTTAAATTTCACTTTATATATACCGATAAAAACATCGTTTACATTGAAATGAACTGTTTCACATAATGAAAAACATTATATAAATTTTTGACATGTCACCATTTTTAAATGCTGTGCTGAATTTTGAGATTGTTTACTTATTATGAGCTGCCAGCGAACCAGGGGCCTGGCTGGCGGCCATGTTTTTGATGCTATCATCTGCTTTTGACTCTCTGCTTACTACACGATTATCCGTCCCTTTCCACCATGTATACGTCAGCTCAATCAGCTGCATTACCCAGGTAAAGTTGTATATGTGACATCATCGTACAAGCTGTGTGCTGCCGTGCCAACGTGATCGTGTACAACGTACAATTATCGATTACTTTTTCGAAGAGACGTATCAGCTTTTGTAAACAATGCATTTGATCGTCGGTTTGGTGTAACTGATAGCTCATCCACGCATACTAATACCACTATAATGCAGGAGAAAATTTCCCCTATCTGATGGTAGTGTTAGTATACGTGAGCGAGCAACCAGTTACGCCAAACCGACGATCAAATGCATTGTTTACAAAGCTGATACATCTCTTCGAAAAAGTAGTCGAGAATTATTAATGTGCGTCAATGTTTCAGTAGTTGGTATCCATAAGCGTGATTTTTTTTCTCGTTTCAGTTCAGTGATCAATTTCCGGTGTTGAGCAATAATCCACAAAGTTGCTATAATGGATTCACCTTCAATGTAAATTTTCAACAGTTGTTTATTCTATGCCATATGCTCAAAATGCATTTCGTTTAGTGGTGTCTCAAAATTAATTTTAGTAAAGATAATAGATCACACAAGCACATCAAACTATTTTTACAACCAGATCCATTAATTACAAGTCTGCGAAAAAGACCGAAGAAAAATTCAGCCCAATTAATAAAAAAAAAAAAAAAAATAGCGAGGTATTGGCATTATTACAACCACCGGATTCATTTGACAGATAGTTACAATTAAGGACAACTGATTTCTAAATACTTCAAGATAGTTTAATCTTTAAACCATTACTGCTTCTGCAATTTAAAAAGTTTAACGAATAAAAATTTTACATAACTGACAGGTTTCCTTATTAGTAGAGATACTTGTAACGGTTTACAAAAGGTGAAATTAAAAAAAATCATCGAATATCATGTCTTCAGTTTTCTGGTATATGTTAGACAATGACATGAGCTAGCAAAAGAGACAAAGTCCAGCTGCCCTTAGCTGCCCCTACGAGAATCCCACCCACCTAAAATAGAGGCAAAATATCATGTTTTTCGAGAATATTTCACTAAAACCACTATAAATTCCACAAATAGTGCAATGAAAATTTGCACCTAGTTTGTTTTCGTTGGAATAAATGCAGAAACCAGAGCAAACATATGAAAATATACAAAAAAAATACAAATAAGAATTTTGGCATCATATTTTTCAATACACCCTATATCTCCGAAACTAAAGGTTATGGAAGTTTTATGTCTTCTGCATCTTTCCTTCATTTTAATAGATAAAAAACTTTGTTGAAAACACCATACGTCTAGGATGCTTTATTCAAAAGTTAGATTCGCGCGCCATCTCTACGACCAAGTTGCGAACTAATTAATTTAGTCAAAAGAAGCGCTTAACTAATACAAACAACTCTACCCAAGACAGTATTCTGATTGGATGCTTTGTTCAAAAGTTATTAATTTTTTCCGAAAAAATCACTGATCTGCCCCAGTGTGGGCCGTCCCCAATCGTAGATTTATTCATTCATTGCAAATCTATTTTAGAGCATCCATCAAACGCACAAAGAAACATTATACACTAAGTTTTATTTCTGATGAACTTTAAACACTTACTTTAGCATTAAGGAATGTTTGGTATTCCGGACGTTCTTCCTGTTCCAAAGATAGATTAATGCTAAGAAATTTCCGACACATCCAAAAAGGTACGATAGCGCAATCACTACAACAAAGTGTGTTCTCAACGGTGATGGTGCGAATTCTTTCGTTAGGTTTCCTCCGGCTGCGAGGTTTGCAATAAGGCTCACATTGCTACTATAGTTCGAATCTCCCGGCATCACTAAAAACTCGGCCAGCGAGTTATTGAACGCAAAGTCGGACATTTTCAAACATGCACACTAGCAGGGCACTGACCGATTCGAATCACACACGCGCACCCAATTCCAACTAATCCTTCCGGAGAGAATTACTTTTTCATTTGTTTCAATTAACACTAATCCCTGATTAGATCTCAGGATGGAACTTTGAATTCATTCGCGTATCCAATATATCGACACATGGAGGTCCTTCAAGGAGGGAATAGCACTCATCGTTGATCGAAATGTTATTTGACAGCGATCTAATCTGTATCCTGAAGCATTAATCCTTCACCGTTCTTGAGACCGCCAAAGTGGACTGCGAATGGACAGTGGGTCGTTGTCCTGTACGCCTCCAGATGAGGAACCGATCCGAACCGAACCGAACTCGCGCGCTTCCGAAACCAAACTAAACATGCCGTAAGGAAAGCAAAATAATTGTATCCACCCACATTCCCCCCAAGGAATGGCGCTGCTGGCGATGACGGGCAAACCATGGCGGGAAGCAACTAGTTGGAAGATAGGACTCGAGCCGCCGAAGATGACCGATGATGATCGCAATTTTATGGCGATGGGGTGCGGGCACGGGAGAACATAAAGGAAAATCGTTTAATTGTTTTATTGATCGTTTGTATTTAAATTAAATTGAAACGCGACACTTTTGCGGTTTATATTTTGTGTACTGTACACAACAGTCCGAACAATACTCCATCTGTTCAACAACGGGGTGTTATGCTATTACTTTTCTAAACTGAAGTCGCAAAATTTTAATCGGGATGACATTCGGTTTGGTTTCGATGGTTTTCGGAAAACGGGTGCAACGGATAGACGAGAGGTATGTTTGCGGTTTTGATGATGAGAGGTTTCCTGTTGTTAATTATACATTGTATACATTAAGGTGGGTCATCATGATGATTTTTTTTGTTCCCAAACAACTGTGCAAAATTTGGGGACGATTGGTTGTAACCCGGCTTTCCGCATTGCGCTTGAAATTTGTATGGAAAACCTATTTTTCCCCCTAGAGACTACGCAACTAAACATGTAAAAGTATAGTCCACGAGATGCTTAACAACTTTGCCCAAAGATGTACGGTGTTAGAAAGTTTCTAAAAAAAAGTTATAGCTGTTCAAAGATCGATGTTTCGATTTAAATCACTTTTTCTGCCAACACTGCCGGTGTTCAAATGAAAGTCAGATTCCAAACTGAAATAACTTTGGAGTTTCTTATATAATCGATTTGGTATGTTAAAAAGAATTATTCAAAAACAATTGTTTAATCTCATAAGCGTAGTTAGAGGGGGATTCATATTCCCCGCCCCTTCACTCATATCAATGGAAGTATAGTTTCAATCTGAAATAACTTCGGTGTTTCTCATATTATCAAGTTCTTCTTGTTTCCTTTAATTAACATCGGTCTCTGTTCCGCAATCTAGTGCCAATCACCGATGGACATCGATTGCCATTCATTGACGGCAATCGAATGTGCAGGAAGGCAGCTTCCACACCTGCGTAGGATATCGCATCCATTCAACACACATGGGCCGGAACCAACGGCTTTACTTCCCTTCCGCAGGCTTGGGGTGAGAAATCAGTCACACTTACCACTACACCACCGGCGCCGGCTCGTGTCAAGTTGGTATGTTCATATTTGTTATTAAAAAAACATATGCTCAATCTAATAGACGTAGTTGGATATGGGAAGGGTCTTAGTATATCCCCTCCACCCATTGGCGTAGCTACTGGGGGTTTCCCAGGGGGGGGCAGGATTATCTAGGCTCCCTATAACTTTTGGTGTTTTCTTTATTCATCGGTAGTTTGTCAAGCTTGTCAAGTTCGATGTTACTAATATTTTTTAAAAGTCCTTTATGCTGACTACTTTTCGAAGCAATTTTGAGAAATCATATTTTGTCGATATTTAATTGATGGCATAATAAGACGTCTACAGGCTCTACAAATTGGTAATGAGCCCAGGGATTTTTATTTAAATTTTGAGAACTTCGTAAAACTTCAATGACTTCTAAGAAGTTCAGGAAAAATCGTTGAAATAGAGGTAACTTATTAGAAATTTTGGGAGCATTATATATCTTCAGACAAATTCGTCAAAGCATGGAACTTGGAAAAGTTCTGAAGACTGCGTAGAAGTGGAAAATTAATTTAAGTTTGAGGAGCTTCGTAGAAGTTAAGGTAACATTATTTTATTTCTGGGAAGCTCATTATTGATCGGAAACCTCTATATCATTTCAGGTCACTTTTTTGAAGCCTCATGGTCTTGAAAATAGTTGTGGTAATTACGTACAACTGCAAGATATTTCGTTTGTGGAACTTCGCGGAAAATCATCAAGAAACGTAGGAGTTTTAGCATTTTGAGGAGCTGCGTAAAATTTAATATAAGTGTAAGGAATTTTGAAAAAGTTCGGGGAATTTTGTAGAAGATCTAAAGATAATTCAATTAACTTCTAGGAAATTCAGGGATCCTCACTTCAGTATAGGGAACTTCGTTGCAGTTTGTCAGAGATCTTAATACAAAAAAAAAACCCATTAACTTTTTGGGTTTTTTTTTTACATTTCAAGGAACTTTCCAGATGTTGAAGAATATTTGTAGATGATAGGTGCCCTTCCAGAAGTGTAAAGATGTTGAGAGATCTTCGTAGAATTATGAGAGATTGACAAAATATGGAATTACAAATAAATTCAGGGAACTTCGTATTTTTATAATATAACTAGCTGAGTGTGCCTTGCTCGGGATTCAATATTAGCTTGAGTTTATGCACCAATTAAAAAAAAGCATGCTATATTGTACGTGCCCCCCCCCCCTCTTATCTAATGGGCTACCCTCTATGACCTCCACATGCCAAATTTGGTTCCATTTGCTTGATTAGTTCTCGAGTTATGCAGCAATTTCTGTTTCATTTGTATGGGATCCCCGTCTTAAAGAGGGGGAGGGAACCATCATAAGAACCTTTTCCTGCCCCAAAACCCACTGCATACAAATTTTTACGCCGATCGGTTCAGTAGTTTCCGAGTCTATATGGGTCAGACAGACTGACAGGCAGACATTCATTTTTATACACATAGATTTATAGCCGGAGGTGAACTAGCCTCAGGCTGAAAGCCTCCCTAACAAAGAAAACTTAATTTTACTTAATATCATTTATTTGTAAAGGCTCAATTTCATTAGCTTTGCAGAGCCGTAATTCAAAGTATAGTAGCAATATTTCTTATGACTGAAGTTAGTAGAACGGGGATCGAATACTCGAGGTTTAGGACAACATTTTTTTAACAGGTTGGATGTGGACTTGGGATAAGGTACATGAGGTGAATTGTCGTTTTAACCTCTGTTAGGGAAACTTCATAGATGTTGAGGAAATTTAGTAAAACTTAAGGGAGTTTTGTAGATGTTCACTAAACGTTGTATAAGTTACAGGATATTTTTTCAGACATCCTTCCTAGACAGCAGGAAATATTCAAAAGATCTCCATATAGACACAGATATTAGTAAAGTTCTCTGGATATTTTTCAAGGCTTCCGGTTGATCACGTTCTGAGGATCTCCAACTGTTTAAAAATTCAATGTTCTTTCAAGACTGTAGGTTGTTCAGAAAGTACCGTAATCTGGGGGAAATTGATCACCGGAGTGAAATTGATCATAATGCGTTGTGCTTTTAATTTTCTCATATATCATGGTCCTATGGTCAAATCCTAAAAGTGTATAATCATGAGACTCCAATGATTGCCTCGATGTGTTTTTCCTAACAAAAAAAATATTACAAAATTTTTAATTTTATAGAGCTGACGCTAAGTAGCATACAATATCAACATCCAAACAAACGATCATAGGACTGCAACGATTGATGTCATTACCATTCAATTGTCATATTTTACTAAACTAAGTGTCAATGAATCCAAATTATTTAATAAATTGCGGTAGAATGTTTCAAATATCAAGAAATCCAGGGTTTGTTGCAAAATTACCAGTGATTTTGAATAAAATTGCCTACAGCTAGGCGCAACTGTACATTTAAGAGATTCCTCGAAGATTCCACAAATGGCCGCCACGAGAGCTATACATACACTTCCACTTCGAATTTTCAATTACACAAATCTCAGAAATTAGGGCCTCATTTCACCTGAAATTGCTACTACTATCACCTGAAATTGCTGCAGTGCAGTGAATGTGGAGTAACAGTTTCATTGTGATACGTGTCCTGGAAGTTGATATTTGTGCACTTGAATTTTCGAAGTGATTACTAGAATAAGGATCTCACAACGAAACACCTTCAGACATCTTTTTTTTTTTGCGTTTCTAATGAAAACACTTTTCACACAAGGGTTTAAGCATCTGAATCGGATTCAGGGAGCCCACATTTAATAAGAAATATTACTAGAAATGCATTGGGAAGCTATTTGAGGGGTTGATCAATTTCACCCAATTTCGAAATTTTCAAATTTAGGATTTCAAAATTTCCTTAACAAAACATCCAATATTATAAGAAATCATGCAGGACGATGGAGCGCTCATAGCTCCTGATTAAAATATCATTAGTTTTTTTTTCAATTTAGTTCATTGTAGAAACTAATTGTGATCAATTTTTCCCCGGATTACGGTATTCAAAAGTTTTCCAACTAATTGAATGTGATGGAATTTTGAATGATGAATCTACACACTAAGTTTTTTCCACCAAGTTCGGCTGTGCAAATCCCGGCCAAAAAAGTTTTACTGAGATCTCAGTAAACATTTCATTTGTTTACTGAGATTCAGTTAAGCATTATCCGACACTCTGCAATCAAATGTCACTTTTGCTGAGATCTCAGTGAATCTTATTGTTGCCGAGATTTGCACAGCCGAGCTCTGTTGAAAAATATGTGTAAATTTTATAGACATGTTTGTACATTATCTGTAGGGAAGACCCGTTTTTTGGTTATTTAGCAATATTGTCAAGAATTAGCACTCCAGCAGCTGAATTCCGGGCATACATTTAAACGAAGAGATGGAAATTTCTACATATATCTAATATGTATAAATTTCTTATATTTATGCCCCGAATTCAGCTGCAGGATTTTTGTGTATATTTTTTGATTAAATAAATCAAGAGCAATGAAAAACCTCGTGTAAATGATTAATTGGTTCCAAATGGGTATAACCAAAACAAACTTCATTTAAAATAAAATAAAAAGTCCCAATGCTTTTGAAAAAATAAATTCAATTATTATTTAGTTATAAACAGGGACACAATCATTCAAGGTTCGAATTCATTCCTTTCGATTAGAATTAAATTTAAATCTTGATTGACGAATGTTAGTTAGGCTGATGCATCGAAGAAAAATCGTTCTGAATAAATGCTTTATTACTTTCTTTTCTCCTCAAAAATCAAAGTCATGACAAATTATAACAGACTTTATAATATT